AACACACATACCCTGCAGACAAGCCCGAATGATAGCATTAAGATACTAGAGTTTTATCTAATTCTTCTGAAAACATGAAACCTATACGTTTGGTTTGCAAATAAATCAAACCAAAGCATTTGAATGCAATTCTTATGAGAGGGAGGGGACAATACAGCACAAAGCCGATCTGAGAGAAATATTTTCCTATCAGCAAAGGAGAAGAACAGAAAATCACCCTGGATTTATTATGTTGAACTTTGCTCTTAGGCAAATTAGGTTTTATAAGAAGCAGTTGCCTAGGGAATAGAGAGTTTGTGCAGGTTTTCTTCAAGAGCAACAGAGCCAAAATCAGCAATTTAATCTCAGCTTAAATTCTGGAACACATTCCCCTCCTGCTGCCTTGTCCTAGACCTGTGGTGGTGAACCTATGGCATGTGTGCTACAGGCGGCATGCGGAGCCATCTCTGGTGGCACGTGAGCCATTGCTGGGCCGAGCTGCTCCCTCCTCCTCTCTGCGCATGCGCAGTCTGGGAATAGGCGAGAGGCTATAAAAGGAGCAACTTTCTGCAGAAGCAGCATTTGCTGGAGACAGCTTGAGAGCGAGCACGAGTCGGAGTGGACAGCGAACAAGTGAGCAAGCACGAGCTGACAGCTTGGTGGCCACGCCCACTCGGTGGCCACGTCCACCCAGCACCCGGCGATGTATAAGTGGGTTTTGGGTTGCAGTTTGGGCACTCGGTCTCTAAAAGGTTCGCCACCACTGTCCTAGATAGAGAAAAATAGCTTGCTGACAGCAGAACCTGTCCCTCTGCCCATGGCTACTAGCTTTGTGCGTCAGCGAGTTTTAGAGCCGAGGTGCTGTTGCCAAGCCTCTTCTCTATGAGGTTATAAACTAGAATAAACTTCATTACCTGAGGGGGGATTTGCAATAGGCAGTAACTAGGCCCTGCCTTATGAAGCTTTCAGAAAGGCTGGTTTAAGTTACAAGCTCTTTGCCAGTTATTATTATTATTATTATTATTTGTCGTTCTTGCTCAAATATTTGCTTCAGTAGCCAGGGGAAAAAGAAAAAGAAAAGTAGAAGTTTGAAACAGAGAACAAAACAAACCAAACCAGGAATTCGGTTGTTGTTAATATTAAGGTCTATTAAAGTCTAATTAGCAGAAGCTTCTTAAACTACACTTGCTTAAAGCTTTCCAATTTCACTAACTGAAGTCATTAAAATATAATGCACCTTCTAATCATAACATAACATCAGCAAGGGAGTCAGACACCTCTTTGTCTCTGTTTTAAAGCTGTTGGTTTAAGATCAATATTGCAGGGCCCACGCTGGGAAATTTTTGCATGACCATCTTTCAAGGTCCAGTCAAGTCTTCCCACGCCCTCGCTGGGAAAAACTGAGAAAAGAAACTTGCAAATGTTTTCTAAAAACCCACGTGCATTTCCAATACGTTATACATTGTAACAACATATCCCATTAACGTTAAAATGACAATCAGTATTAAAATCTACAGTGTGTAACTGAGAACTCTATCCACCCCGAATGAAACAGGAAACAGCCAGGTCTTAACCACCTTCCTAAAAGCGGGCAGAGTCAGCACCAACCATATGACCTAAAGTCAGTTTGGTTTAGTGGTGAAAATACTGGCCTACAAACCAGGTGAGGGTGAATTCTAGCTCCACCTTAGGAATAAAAGCCAGCTGGGTGACTTTGGCCAGTCACTCTCTCTTAACCCAACCCACTTCATAGATTTGTTGTAGGGAAAATAAGAAGAAGGAGGAGTACAGGTAGTCTTCAACTTACAACAGTTCGTTTAGTGACCATTCAAAGTTACAACAGCACTGAAAAAAGTGATTTGTGACCATTTTTCATAGTTATGACCTTTGCAGCATCCCCATGATTATGTGACCAAAATTCAGATATTTGGCAACTGGCTCCTATTTGTGATCATTGCTGGGTCCCAAGGTCATGCTTTGACAAGCAACGTGAATGGGGAAAACAGATTCACTTAGCCACCAGGTTACTAACTTATCAACTGCAAGGGTTCACTTAACAACTCTGGCAAGAAATGTCACAAAATGGGACAAAACTCACTTAACAAATGTCTCACTTAAATTTGGGGCTCAGTTGTGGTCTTGCAGGTGAGTCACAGTCAAAACCGTTTGGGCAAAGATGCAGTAGGTGCTCAGGGTACCTGAAGGGACACAAATAAAGGCGATAGAATTGCACAGCTGCTCCTGGCATTGCATCTGAAAGGCCTTGGTGGGGTCCGCTCTTGTCTGAATAAACCTGAAGGTGTTAAGGCTTTCGAATAGTTCCCTGTTTCCATACTTGCTTTGCTTACGGAACAGAAGATCAGGTATCCCTCTCCTCCTGCTAAGCCCAGAAGTTCCTAATATGAACCAAGAATGGAAGTGTATATGTGTGCATGCACGTATGAGTGCCTGTGTGTGCTTCAAAACATTCAAGATGGCCACCATAACCATGGTATACTTAAAAAGGATAGGGCTATGATGGCCTATTCATGGCTACCATCTTGATTTAAAAAAAAAAGGAGCAAAGTCCTAAATGAGATGTGCAGACAGCCTTTTAGCCATGGATAAAAATCAAAATCCATTAATTCTGGCTCACATTGGCCCAAATTGTTGGCAGTGATGATCTAGATTCAGGGCATTCTGGAGATGGGTGAGCCAAGCAAAATGTCCCAGCCGTCTAAGTCATATGGCACACCACCTATGTTGCATCAGCTTCCATGGGTTTTGCTTTTTTTTCAGCAAACAGCAAGGCAAACAACAGGGAGAGGCTGGCTAGACTAACTGGACTTTGGCAGGGTTAATTTTAGCTCCGGCATTATCTCTAGAAGATCAACAAGGAGAGTGTGCGCTCTGCTCCCAGAATCTCAGCCTCGTTTGCTTTACCTACAGATGGACCTTGTGCACCGCATCTTTCTTGGCAAGGCTGCTTTGTGCTGAAAAACCTCTTTGCAAGCCACGTAAGGGAGGCACAGTGAATCGAATGGGTGCCAGATATTACTCCCCTATGAATAGCATGCCACACTTCTCCTCCAACTGCATGGATACATACTGCTCTCCTCTTGCCACAGCAGCACAGTCAAATAACACTGTTTAACTTCCCAGAAAGCTAGCTCTTCTACCACCACTACCCCTCCAATTCTCACTCAAGTAATAATGGATGATCTCAGTCAGCAGAACCTGAGCCTATTGTGTTCGCCTGGGAATCACAAATGACTCAGTATTTTGTTGCCCTTGGAGTTCAGCAGCTCCTGATCGATGCAGCATTAAGAGAGGCTGCGCAGGCAGAGTCTGGAAAGGTCAGTGGCTGAGTGACTTCTACTAGAGGCATAGCTCTGATACAGAGCCAGATGCTTTTTTCAGATGAGCGACTAATACAGCAGAACCAACCAAGGTGGAACTTTGGCCAAGATTCAAGAAGAAAAAAAATCACCCGTAGCTCTTTTAGGAAGCTCCTCAGAGGAATACTTAATATGTAACCTAGAGGAGGTCTATGGATATGGCTAAAAAACAGGTGCAACCCCCCCCCCAGCAACTTAAAATCTCCCAGTCTTACATGATGGTAAGTCTTGGTGTCTTGGGACAGTGTCCAATTTTTAGTCCTTCCAAAACAATTCCATTACGGCTTTGCAAATGACTCTCTTGAATCCACATAATATGGAAGAATCAAATATTTCCCCACCCAGAACAGGGGGAAAAAAATAATGCAAGCCATAATTCTGTGTCTCTCTCTTTGTATATATAGTCGAAGTCTATGTACTAAGCTTTTTTTCAGAGATATTTCTGGAAGGAAAAATGTCATCAGGTTTATTTTCCTTTGTAATATTTCCTTAGCTGGATAAATAAACTATGTCAGAGACAGAAAAGCTGCCAGACATAGTCCCTTGTGAGGAGTGACTTGACAAAAGGGCTTCTCAGGAGCAATGAGGTAATTTCTAACATAAGATACACGGGTCCCATAAATCTTGCACAGACAGTGCTACATGCCCATTCAGCCTGGGATTCTTCTGGAGCAACTGAAATAATGGATGCAAGAAAAAGGCTCAGAGTAGTATGCTGCTAACTTTATGTTTGCCCTTGCATAAGACTGGCTCTGAGGTCAGCACAGTTCATAGAAAATGCCAATTTCCATTTGCAAAAAGACAGCTAAAATCCCCCACGCTCATCAGCTTGCCAGGAGGCAATTGTTATATTATCAATTAAAGCAGTGTTTCTTATGGCTGGCTGGGGAATTCTGGGATTTGAAGTCCACCCATCTTAAAGTTTCCGAGGTTGAGAAACACTGAAAGCTTCCACAGGAATATGTTTCTCCAAGGATTTTCAAATTTCACAAGTTTTTATTTAAGTTCCCACCAGTTCTTTTCCAAATCTGGCTTCTCTTGACAGACCTGCAAGCCTTTTTCCAGGGACTGGACAGGGAACAAAATCTTACCATAGCATTTATGTGAACTATTTACTGCAGGAATGCCTGTGACACCCTAAATATTATTAGGATAATACTATTCCTCACTATTTCTTTTTGTCCACTTTTCCAGTGCTGCCTTACGGGTGCCTGTGCATTTCAGAATTACATCCCATGCATTTAATGAAGTATAAGGAGACCTTGATTTATGACCCCAATTGAGCCTAAAATTTCTGTTCTTAAGCAAGACAGTTAAATGACTTTTGCCCCATTTTATAAACTTCCTTGCCACAGTCTTAAGTCTGCAGTTCGCAGTTGTTTAACTGGTATCATGATTGTTAAGTGAATCTGGCATCCTCATTGACATTGACATTGCTTGTCAGATTGCAGAAGGTGACCCCAGGACACTACAAGCATCATAAAAACATGCCAGTTGCCAACAGGTCAAATTTTGATCATGTGACCATGATCGCTACGGATTTGCCGCTGCTTCGGAGGACCTTTATTGGAGCCGACGGAAAAGCCTTATCTAACCACCCAACATGGGAAGGAAAAGACCCACATCAACGTTGTTGTCATCGGACATGTTGATTCCGGCAAGTCTACCACCACTGGTCATCTGATTTACAAATGTGGTGGAATTGACAAGAGGACCATTGAGAAGTTTGAGAAGGAAGCTGCTGAGATGGGTAAAGGCTCCTTCAAGTATGCATGGGTATTGGATAAGCTGAAGGCAGAATGTGAACGTGGTATCACTATTGATATTTCACTCTGGAAATTTGAAACCAGCAAGTATTATGTCACTATCATTGATGCTCCTGGACACAGAGATTTCATCAAAAACATGATTACTGGTACATCTCAGGCTGACTGTGCTGTCCTAATTGTTGCTGCTGGTGTTGGTGAATTTGAAGCAGGTATTTCCAAGAATGGACAAACCCGTGAGCATGCCCTTCTGGCCTATACTCTGGGTGTAAAACAGCTCATTGTTGGAGTCAACAAGATGGATTCCACTGAGCCACCTTACAGCCAGAAGAGATATGAGGAAATTGTCAAAGAAGTCAGCACGTACATAAAGAAAATCAGCTATAATCCAGATACAGTGGCCTTTGTGCCAATTTCAGGCTGGAATGGAGATAACATGTTGGAACCTAGCTTTAATATGCCCTGGTTCAAAGGGTGGAAGGTGACTCGTAAAGATGGTAGTGCTAGTGGAACTACACTGCTGGAAGCTCTGGACTCTATCTTGCCACCAACTCGTCCAACTGACAAACCTCTACGCCTGCCACTTCAGGATGTCTACAAAATTGGTGGGATTGGTACCGTTCCAGTCGGTCGTGTGGAAACTGGCATTCTAAAACCAGGCATGGTAGTAACAGTCCTGGGGAAAGGTCACAAGTCACTGTTTTCAGTGTTGTTGTAACTTCAAATGGTCGGTAGACAAATAGTTGTAAATTGAAGACTCTGTAGACCAGGGGTCCCCAACCCCCAGTCCATGGATCAGTACCGGGCTGCAGCATGCCAACAACCAGGCCGCACAAACAAGCAAAGCTCCATCCATGGGAAGCAGGCAGCACCCAAAACCACACCCTGTCCGGTCCACGGAAAACCTCTCTCGGTGTAATCGGTCCCTGGTGCCCAAAAGGTTGGGTACCTCTGCTGTAGACTGTAATTCACGTTTTTTTTTAAAGAAATCAGTCTATAAGATACCAGAAGACTAATTTTTATTCTATCTTTAAAGACTTTTTATTGCCTGAATGAAGCATAAGGAATCTTTTTTTTTTTTTTTGCTGTAGCCATAAGCCATCATGAATTTATGCTGATTTCATTGCAACTCTAGGCTTCTCTGGATTCCAAATTTATTTTTAGTTCAACAGTATAATTAAAGGACACACCATAAAAGAATTTTCTTTTTGGCAGTGATGAAGTTCTGCAGGCCTTCTAGATGGCGTGTTTTCCCATTGGAGAGAAGTTACTGAAAATCTCCTCTTGGTTCCCGTGGAAATGCCAGCTTGGTTGGGGGTTCAAATGGGTTCTATTTGTTTATTTTTGAAATAGATGAGCAAAAATAGCTGTTCCAACTTTTATTTTTAATAATCCTTTTATGTGGCAAAGGGATTTTGGCTTTCCCAATAGAATAGAAACCACAGAAGTGCAATGAATTCTAGTTCCTGTGACATAGAAAGTATGCATTTTGTTTGGAATGTATTGTGTCTTCTACTGTATGTGAGGTCTGCTGTCAGGTGCAATCCCCAAGTATGATGATAGATGCTGCGGAGAGACCCTAGGCTGCAAAATTGATATAATATTATGTTATCTTCAAACATCTCGGTGGCTTTTTTAGTATAGAAGGAATGACAACTTGACAACTGGCAACTTCACTTCATTATACACATTCATATTAACTGAATTTGAAGAAGCTTGTTATAGAACAAAAATTATGCAGAATCTAGCCAGAGCTAAAGCTGAAGCCAGTTTTGTCCTTGTCTGTACACCATTCCTTCTTGGTAAGATTTGCAAAAAATAGCCCAGTTCTATTTTCTCTTCAGCTGAAGGTTGACTCAGCCTTCCATCCTTCCAAAGTCAGAAAAATGAGGACCCAGATTGTTGGGGGCAATATGCTGACTCTGTAAACTGCTTAAGAGAAGGTTGTAGCGGACTGTGAAGCGGTGTGTAAGTCTAAGTGCTAGTGACTCTGCTTCTCAAAGATTTGTGGCCTTGGTTAAGTAACAAGCTCTTTTCTTCCTTTTACTTTAATCATTCTGTTGGGAGAATTCTGTTCATTGTATATTTTTAAAAAATGAAAAAATAAATGTTGCTTTTATAAACACAGAAACATATGATAAAAAAAAATAATGTAGTTATGCTTTTTACAAACATGCCAAAACCTATCATCTCTGTATTAGAAACTGCATATTATCCTACGTATGATTTTTTAATATTAACTGAAATGAAGAAAAAGATTTGCAAAACAGTATCCATTAGATTACTTTAATTAAGAATTATGAAACATGCTCTTTAAGTTATCAAGTGTAATTGTGCACTGTAATTATTTGATATAAATATCGCATGCTTTAAATTACCAATTTGTTATTTAACCAGTGTAATTTTTTCTGGATTCCCCCTCCCCCACCATCTAAAGCTGCAAGATAATGAAAGGAAAGTTATGTTAGTCATACTGCTATAGATAAATATTTACACCAGAGGAAACTGCCACAAATAACCACAAAATTCCTACTCAATTTGGAAAACAAAATATCTCAGCAATTTATTTATCAAGCTGTGTTGATTTGAACATTATACTAGGATAAATCCAGAAATACATCTCCATCTGGAAAGGTGAACAAGCAATGTTGCCAAAACATCTGCCTGGGGAAAAAAAAGATGTCTGAAAATTTTACTGATTTAGGTATTTATTTGTCCTGATTCCAACCTTTATGACTCAAATAGGTAGAGATGCTCTATTTGAACTTTTTATTGGGCCCAGATGTCCTGCTATTGAAAACTCAACCCCCTCAAATGATTACTGATTACTTGCCATGATTCCTTTTTCTATAGCTTCAGAAGCACTTTGCTTTGGGACAGGAAAAAGGACAAGGCTTACACAAGGTTCTCCTGCTAGAGCAGGGGGCTGGACTAGAAGATCTCAAAGATTCCTTCCAGATTCTATTCTATTCTATTCTATTCTATTCTATTCTATTCTATTCTATTCTATTCTATTCTATTCTATTCTATTCTAAATTAATTCTAAAGTCCTTTCTTGTTTTGATAGATCAGACTAGAAAGAGTGGAAGAGAGACCTTGAATCTGCTAACTAATTAAAAAAAAAAACCTAAAGCAACCTAACTCTCATAATCTTTTATAATCAGCAGAATTGAAAACGGTGGATAGAAAAAACGGGAAGCTGTACCTTAGTACCACTGTGAATCCTTCTTTAGCTATTTTCCATGTTTACAGATCCGAAACTGGGAACGGGACTGGTCCAGTCCTAAAGTCCATGGGGGGAGGGGATACATGCCTTTTCCTTACTAGTCCCTCAAGGTGAAATCTAGACTCTTTGTGATATATAAAAGAAGTGTTATAAATTCTGAGATTATTGGGGCCAATAACTGTGGAGGCACTCTCTGCCTTAGGATAGCAGTCTCTTAAAAAAAATATCTGTGGGTTGAACAATGTCCAAGTTAAAACTTTACACAGGTCCTTGAAAAAGACTTAGCCTGAAAAAATGTAAAAATATTTGTTTACTTAGTGGAATAAGCCTTAATCAACTTTGGTTACCAGGCTGTCAGTATCAAAATAATGCAGTCCCTGAGCTATGTTGATATGTTAGATGCCTTTTTGGACAGTGTATCTTTTCAGTTAAGTCTTTTCAACATAGTGTATAAAGTTCAGTACCAAAGTACTATTACCAAAAAGCATATTTCTTAGGATTAACTTACGCCATCCAGGTACAAACAGGATTCCTTGCATTTATACCAGTTCTTGTCATACAGTGAGCGAAGAGCATGTAAAGCTTCAAGGCAGCTTTCAATAGTAAATAGAAATAGAATTTATTTGGGCATAGACTAAAGGCTGATAGGAGGCAGGTTTTAAAATATTGATATTTTTGCTTTCAGAATGTTTCACCTCTTTCTGTTTCAGTGTAATGTATCTTGCAGAGAGGAAAGAAGATAAAAATTATGTATCTCTGGTTTAGTAGTTTAGTTTGAGTGATGGCTATAGTAGATATGTAAAGTTTCTATGGTTGATAGTCCGAATTATTATGAACTAACATAGTTACAGGCAGTGAAGTTCAAAATATTGTAACTTATGTAGATTAGGTTTGAAGTCTTAATAAAAAATAATTCCTTTATTAAGAATGCAGATATTATACTCAGTCTCACCTCGAATTGCAAGATGGGCCATAAATAAATTTAATAATAAATAAAACAAAAAATCAATTATATTTGTCATTAAAAATGAATCCTGGAATAATAATGTGCGGTGGCAATATATGATACTGCTTTACATCTACTGAGTTTAATAGATAATATTATTTAAGTTGCATACATACTGCAGTTTCTGAGGGAGGGAAACTTATTTGCTATGAAAAAAATAAACATTCTATTGTTAAATTGCTTTTACTCCCATTGGGCAGTGCCTCAAGTGTGAGAAATAAGTATATGGGGTAGTTAGGTCACACTCAGCTATATGCATTTGAAAGCAAGTGGGCTTGGAAGAGAAATGAGAGGATGTCCATTCCACTTTGTAACGGAATGTAAAATCATTTCTCGGTTCTGTAGAAGTAAAAACATATGAAATGGAAAGATTTCTGGAAAAAAAATCAGAAATATTGTTATAACTGCATTCCACAAAAATGCTTGAAACAAGCCAATTCCAAATAATGGATTATGAATCTTTTTAATATACTATAGTTAAGATTAGCCCTGGATTGTCAGAATATTAAATGGGGATGGAAACCACTAATCCACTCATGGAGAGTGCGTAAGACCTAGACTCACTCTTAATTGTTCCCATCATGTGTATAGGTGAACGTGCATGCTTTATAAAGAGACAGGCAAAAAAAAAGTGATATGTGGATGATAATGATGACGACAAAGACGTGTGATGCTGCCCTTAGGAATCTGAAATGCCTATTAAATGCAGCCTCAAAATTCAAACCGAGATGCAACTTGCATACAATATGCATGTCAGTTGCTCAGTAAATACAAGACCTTTGAAATGAACTAAGCATTAGAGGAAATTATACCTGTTATTCTCTTTCAAAAGCTTTCAAGAAATAATCCTTAAAACAGATTAAAGATGTGCAATTCTTAACATCTGCTGCTGTACAAAAAAAGTATCAAATGAAATTGAGCAGGGAAGGCTACGTACTCCACCTCTGGTATACACATCAGGTTTTACTCGAGCATCCTTTGTTAAATACTTTTCAAATGTCCACCGAACATTTAATTACACTTCCATTAAAAATCAGAATATATAAAAATCTTTTACTTCAACATATTTCAAATTGTCATATTTACACTTCAATTTTAAAACAAAGGTCAGTGAAAAATACAGCTATGTTACCACTGAACAATTTAGGATTAAATTAAAAAAATCACATATTAAACCAGAAACTTGTCTATGGCCACGAATGTATGAAAACAGATCTAGGCAGAAAAAAAAGCATAAAATTCCAAGGTAAACACTTCTATTTAAAAGAAAATACAAACACACTATCAGAAATGTTTGGCTTTCAAATAACACGATTTTCCTTAAGTGTAAAATCTACAGCTATGAAAAATAATGTACAATATATCTGGAGAACAGCTTCAGATAAAGGTTAGTGTGCCTTAAATAGATATTTCACCAAGACAGCCTTTACTGAAAGACGTCAATTAGGAAGTCGAAAAACTTAAATTGTAAGAGTGTGTTTGTGTGTTTGTGTGTGCGCACAAGTTTTAACATTGTTACTACATAATAAATACAAACTTTGAAGAGAATTGAGGGTGCAGAGCAACTGCAGCCTGGACAGGCCAGTCTACTAAATAAACAGGAGCCAACACAGTAGAGAAGTAATCAAGATCCCCAAAATTGAGAAATACTCTAGAAAATGTGAGTGCTTGTTTCTACAACTTGTGCTGGTGACAACAGAGAGAACACAGGTCACTTGCTTTTATAATATAAACAAGCTCCTATTTCATCTCTATGAAGGATAGGCCTGTCTGAAAAGATTGCAGGTATTTCAGCCAGACCTTTTAAAAACTGTTTGATTAAAAGAGTGAGAAAGTTTTCATGAGCTTTGGTCCAAAATATGACTTGATTCATAATGCTGATGATTCTTTTTTTTGGGGGGGGGGGGGAATGACAAACACTATGCAAGCAATATGGAAGCTGAGTTGGGGCAACTGGACTTATTTTCTTGTTGGTTTGAGGCATTTGGCTGCCTTCCAGACAACTCTATCTAGATGACCAGAATTTTCATCAATGTATTACAAGCCGTGAAAATATTCAAATCTGGTTCCATGTTCTTGCTTTGATATTAACTAAGTAAAAGTATGTGTATTGCTGCCTATTGTTTTTTGTCTATATGCAGTGATGCATTTCTCATTGTAGGAATTATTTATATGCTGAGGATGGAGTGAACCCTATCAAGGACAGCCAGGCTCTGCAAAAGAAAGCCATTAGTGGCTTGATCAATACAAACATTATTTTTACTTGCTAAAGATAAAAGGGACAGACATGCTTTCTCCCCAGGAAATTCAATGTTTGTTTTTGCCAGGCAGTGGAAAACTAAATCTTTGTCCTTCTGATCTCTCCTGGACGCCGACGTATATAGGACACCAAAAAGCTACTTCTGCAATTTCTGTCTGTTTTTCTTTTCTTTTATCTGTTCTTTTCTTCTTTTCCTTTTTTTTTGGGGGGGGGGGAGAATGTATACCTGTGTGTATGTAGAATTCCAGTTATATTGTCTCCAGTAATCATGCTCAATTTAAGCTACTATATTTACACATATCATATTAATATCTTGCCTAGGACAAAACATAATTTGAAATGTGGCATTAACACTTCTCACAGTAGAACACTCTCCACTGAAGCCCTTCATCCTCGCTAGTTTCTTCTCCAGCTTTGTTTGCTGCATTTTTGTGCAAACAACACATTACATAAAGAGAAACATACATTTTTATTTACATGAACATTCTTCTGAACAGGTATCAGAGTCCTTCACCTTGCTTTTCACAGTTGTAAATAGCAAATGATCTACAATACTCTAATCAGTTGTCATGGATACCATGTAAAGCTCAGCAGGGTTGTTTATGAACATGTCCAGTTATAAGAACTCCACATAGTTCTCAGGAATCAATCCTATTTTCCCATTCAAGGTCCCTTCCAACCAGCCAGGTTCTTGAGATGGATGAACTGGAAAGATATAGGCAGGTTATTACACTTGTAAATCTGAGATTTTAAAAACAAAATCGGATTTTTTCTCTCTCAATATATATGTAAGTGGCTGAAGAAAGAAGAAGGGACAGAGACGCCACACCATTTTGTCATGCCTTGGGGCTTTATACATTGGGGTCTACAATCCAGTTTAATCCTGTGGGGATGTGTTCTCTCTCAGCTCTCAAAAAGGCATGGATATTCTGGTGATCTGCATTTGCAAATCTGCATCCATCTGCACTTTTAATTCACACATGTTGCTGACCTGCCTTTCAGAATGACCCCAGAGGTCAAAGCATACCTAAGAGGCATGCAAGCTTACAGCAGTTTTCCAGATGTTGTGAAGTACTGTTTGTCCACCAGTGGAATGCTCCATCTACTGGCTGGTTTCAGAATCTCAAAATCAAGCCATACCTAAGCTGATAGTGAAGAGCCACAGTTTCTCATTTCAAATTCTCAGTTGAATCCACCAATTCTAGCTGGAACGTGAACTCATTGGTGCTATTATAGTCTAAGGAGCAGTTTGTTTTCCATAGGATACATTTTTTTCAGCTCACCTCACCTCACCTCACCTCTCTGCATGTGTGTTTCATCATTACATTTTTACCTGAAACCAGGACAAAACAACATGTACAACTGATCTTCCCTCTCCCCCCTCCACACTTCATAACACTGTAGGCTTTTCCCTTACCTTAACAGAACTATTTCCTAGAATTGGTGGATGCACAGCTTATACCCAATTTTATCTCATGTCTCATCATTGCTACTCGGAAGGATTCCTGTTCAAGCTGAATGCCCTATCAGCAAGCTAGCAATCTAAAAGGGCAGGCAAGTCAAGGGATTATAGACACAGGTTTATTAATATATTGCCATATCCTAATGCTCCCCTCACATCCAGAGTTGTATTTATTTATTTTTATAAAGAATTTGCTTTCCCTAAGCAAGTTAGTGCTATAAAAAGGTAACACACAGGAAGAGAGAGTGGACGGGTGGGGAAAGAAAATGTTAGCATTTTATTGATTTTCTGTAGAAGAGAAGATAACGTTATGGTTGTTAAGTCATAACCAGAAAGGGTTAGATGCAGTAGGGAACAGTTTCTGTGAGTGGGTGCAAAGTACACTTGGCAACTGACTCACAAGGTCTCATCATATTGTGACAAAAACATAGATAGGCCTAAGAAAGAATGGCTTTGAGAATGATCATCCCTGAAAAGGTTAAGGGGACACGAAAGGATTGCAGTTTCATCTAAACTGATCTTGTTTTTTTTATTTTTATTTTTTATTGAAAATTTTTAAAATTTTTACAAATAGGGAAAAGAAAAAATAAAAAACAAAAAACAACCCTACCCAACCACCCCAACCCTCCCACTCCATCCCCCACAACCTTCCCAGAGCTGAATATAGGCTTAATTAAAATTTCTAAAAATCTTAAAAAGAAATTAAAAAAGTATAAACCATAAATATATGTAAATACATTTCATAAACTTATAAGATAATTAACAATAATATATATGTAAAAAAGAAAAGCATAAATATTAAAAAAGAAAAATGCTTAAAAAGAAAAAGAATAAAAGAGAAAAGAAAGAGGAAAAGATGTATATATATATATATAAAAAAAGAAGTAAAATAAGATAAAATAAAAATAAGAAATATAAGAAAAGAGAAGAAAAAAAATACAATCTATAAAATATTGAGATTTATATATAAGTTATTGAAAAACTAAGTAATATTTTTATATCCAACTTATGTTGTATAAAATCTATCCATTTTTCTCATACCGCAAAAAACTTCTCTTGCGATTGATCCTTTAAAAAAGCCGAAATCTTTGCCATTTCTGCCAAATAAGAAACTTTAAAAAACCATTCTTGCAAGGTAGGCAAAGATTCCTTTTTCCAGTATTGCCCTACTAACAACCTTGCGGCTGTAATTAAATTTAACATCAGTATAACCTCCTTAACTAAAACTGATCTTGTTAATAAACAGGTGGTGATCTGGAACAGCTCATGGATTCTCTTTGTTAATTGCCGCATAATTGTGGAACTTCCTCCCATTGATTTGCTATGCTTTCTTTCTTTCCATCTTCAGATGCACGATGAAAATATACAAACACACATTGTGCTCTGAACTGAACTTGTGGGCATAGCTCGAGTAAGGCTAGATGGAGAAGGAGATGGGACAAGGTCTTCCCTCTTTCTATTACTCAATGTTTTGTTGATTTATAGCCACATTTTTCTGGTAAGGAATGGAAGCAGAAGAGATTTTACTCATTTCTATTTATCACTTGAAATCAGGCATTAATGTCTTTTTTTCATTTTACAGCTGAACCACAAATGTATTTTAAATATTAAAGACATGTTTCTTTTGTTCAGCATGGAGTTTATATAATTTACAGCAGTACTTTAAAAAAAAAAGTTTGTTCTCAACTACAGGAGGACACAGATTGAATTACAGATAGGCCTTGATTGATGATCGGTCGTTTAGTGACCACAAAACCAGAAAAAGGGACCTGTGACCTGGATTCAAAGTTCAGACAACTGCTCTTCCACCCCCCACCCCCCCACCCCCGTCCCGCAATCACATGTCTGCATTTTGGGTGCTAGATATCAGGCCAATCTGTGGCTGTTTGCAGTGTCTTGTAATTACATTCTCACCAAGTTTTTATGGGAAAACAGCATTTACTACTGATGTCTTGCCCCAAATGCCCTATAGCAGTGGTGGCTAACCTATGGCACAGGTGCCAGAGGTGGCACTCAGAGCCCTCTCTGAGGGCACACGTGCCGTTGCCCCATTCTTGCCTCCCCCGTGACCCCCTCCTCACCAGCAGCCCCCCTCGAAGAGAGTCACCCCCAAGCGGAGCAGTGCAGTCAAGGACATGGCAGCCAGGCAAAGTAGACAAGACTCTGTCCTCATGCCCCATCGTACACAGTTGATGTTGCAGGGCGCAGGCAGAGGGCGTGGCCATGGCGCTGCTGGGCAATCTGCGGCAGGCCCTGGAGGCGATGAGTGGCCCGTGAGCAGGTGGAGTGTGGGCAGGGCAGGGGGTGGGACCAGTTTTTGGGCACTCGGTCTCTAAAAGGTTCGCCATCACTGCCCTACAGAGAACAATGAGTTTGCTTTCCGATTTCAGTATTCACTTTCTCACTGCTGCAAAAATGGCCATAATATCATGTATGTCACATGGTAATGTACTTAACCACCCTCACAACTTACAAATTGTGACTTCAATTATGATTGTAAATCAAGAATAACAGCATCCCTCTTGAATACAGAAAAGCTCTGGATCATTCCTGGATGCTCACAGTTATTACCTATCTTTCAAAGCTTGTCCAGGCTTCCTGATTTGGAAGAGGCAACCATTTTGGCTACCATTTTGGCTTCCATGCTTTTCCTGTCAATTTAGGAAGTCCAAGCAGATGAAGGAATACCTTTCTTGCAAGACCCACTTGCAAGACCTACCGGACCAAAGGTTTACTTTTCCAAGCTTTCGGAGCCCATCCTCAGGGGACTTCTCTCTCTCCAGAATGTGTGACTGGAGTGTGTTCCAGAATTTAAACTGAGACACATTCTGGAGAGAGAGAAGTTCCCTGAGGATGGACTCCAGTACAAGTCTGAAAGCTTGGAAAAATAAATCTGTGGTCCCAGTGACTGACTTAGATTAGATCTGCAACATTATCCTGGAACATGTATATTTGCCTTCTTGTCTGCTGAAGGGAGAATAAGAAACATAGGGAATAAGCAATAAAGGGCCCAGAACAGAGGAACAATCGTACAGAAATACTAGATAAGAATTCATCATTTTCCCACACTTTTCTATGCCAGAAGAGAAAGGCTTCACCTATCTCTATGTTCTGCAGTTAAGAGCTGTGGTGGTGCAGTGATTAGAATGCAGCATTGCAGGCTAATTCTGCCAACTGCCAGTAGTTCAATTCTCACCGGCTCAAGGTTGACTCAGCCTTCCATCCTTCTGAGGTCAGTAAAATGAGGACCCAGATTGTTGGGGGTAATTTGCTGACTCTGTAAATTGCTTAGAGAGGGCTGTAAAGCATTGTGAAGCAGTATATAAGTCTAAAGTGCTATTGCTATTGCTATCTCTCTTAATTTCTTCAAGGATAATTTGGTCACTCTACTTTCAATGGCAAATAACCGGCATCTCCAGGGTTAATAGAACTTCAAAGACTAGCTCACGAACAAAGAGATTTCCCTTCACCTAGTCCACACAGCTTACAACCTAAATTTTGAAGATGAAGAGACCAAAGAAGAATAAAATTAAGAAGAATCCTTTAATCATACATAGCTTTATGACTTTTGGTGGGTTTTTTTTTTCAGGAGGACAAAGTCGCAGCGAGAGTTCATCCTCTTTATTCATATTTCCTCGAAAATATCGCCTTTTCTGTAGCACTGAGGTTTAATTTCCTTTCCTTTCCCACTGTGGCTATATCGTAAGCTAAAAGTCCACTCTGTGTTATAGTTCTTCCTACAACCTCTCTTCTTTATCATCCTCCTAGTCTTTTTTTAGCTTTCTGTATTTATGTAGTTAACAAGCCTTAGGAAATTATATTCCTGTTTATGAAAAACACTAATGACAACATGGTTACATAAGCCTGCCCATTCAGGAGGAGGAAGGCAAAAAGGAAGGAAATATTGTCAAGAAGCCATTGCTGTTTCTATGCAGATAATGTAAAACCCACTCTTGGGAGCGAACAGGACTGCATAGAAAAATCTCTTGCTAACCTGCTCATTAAAGAAACTTCCTATAGTTGTGTTTCATAAAGCCCTTCTTCCTTTACTTCCTTAAATTCTAAGAAGACATTAAGCACAAGGACAGCTGGGAAGCATCAATCAAGACATCAAGAGAAACACCCTTGGAAAGATGTGGAAAGTAATGGAGTCATCTTTGTTTCTCAGGGTAATCTTAGATTAAATTCTCTAAACCTAAGGCAAACAATATACATTAGCACAAGAAAGTAATTACACTACGACACCTCAGTCTGAATTGTTATTAAGAAATAATAGCTTATGAGTCAGTATTCAATAAAAATAGAGATCGGGTGTTGATGAGTTGGCAACTATACGTACTATTTTGTAAATTAAACACACTATTTGTTCTTGATAAATTAGCCTGGATTTCTCTTTCAAAAATCTTTTGAATATTTCCAACTTTCAAGAGTCAGAGAAGTCAATAAAGGCTAATACTTAACCTTCTGAAAGAACTATTTCTTTTCTTTAAAGATAATGCTTCCTGCAGCATCTACACTTAATTTTAAAATCGTGCATATTCTGCTACCCTGCTGTGTAAAAATCTACTGGTTTAGAACCAGAATAATGCTTGAGTAATTTGAGATTTATAAAACCAAAAAATACATGGGCTGGGAAAGCACTTTAAAAACCTTTGGTGCTTGCTTATTTTAAATAGCAATATCATTTAGACTTATATACTGCTCCATCGTGCTTTACAGCACTCTCTGAGCAGTTTACAAATGTCAGCATGTGGCCCCCAGCAATCTGGCTCCTCATTTTACTGACCTTGGAAGGATGGGAGGCTGAGTCAACCTTGAGCCGGTGAGAATCGAACTGCTGGCAGTCAGCAGAATTAGGCTGCAATACTGCATTCTAACCATTGCACCATCACAGCAGTTAAATATTTCAGTAAGGCTCAAAGAGAGGAGCATCGGCTTCAATAATCAATAGATTTGTCCTCATATTCAAGTGATCCTGAGATCAGATTGGCAGCATTTAGAAGAAGGTAGCAAGATTATGGGGACAGGATTCTTCAGGCATTATTATGGTCTAAGCAAATGCAGAAATCAAAAGATGAAAGATGTCTCTGTGACAAGTCATACTGGAATTACATAAAAGTCTGTGATCTGTCTTGAGAGATACTCAAACTGCTGTCACCAGAAGTGGTGGCCAAGAAACTTCAAGTTGGAGATTAGAGAGAGGAATGTAATTCCTCTCATCTTCTTTACACAAGCAGCTAGCCTATTTCTACTTCTTTTTAGAGTAGGTCCTGTATGGTTATATCATAATGTCTCTTGTAATTTTGGGCTCAAAGAAATTCTGAACTGTAGGCTAATCAGGAAAAAAGATACAAAGAGTGTCTTGTATTATTGCTTCTTTATAATTATTTATAATTATACAATGCATAATTATATACAATAAATACACTGTAAATATACAATATATAATTGCGGCAATAACACAATGATTTGATTTCAATCACTTTAACAGTTAAAGAATAGAGGCAAGGTGAGGAGGGTTTTCTTTTAATGAAAAAAAAGAGAATGTGTCCACTGAGGATAAAATTCTTTTTCTTGAATCACATTTTGGACCCAGGAGTGAATCAGGATCAATTACCCTAATCTGTTAACAGTATCTCACTTCCAGTACATGAAGGAAGCAAACATTTTCTTCAGAATCTTAACTTTTATGAAGACTCCAATGATAATCCCGCCCTCTCCCCAATGTATTTGTTAGACTTTTCTACACACATACACACACACACACACACACACACACACACATTAATTTGCAGAAAAGTCTAACAAATACATTGGGGAGAGGGTGGGATTACCATATATAGATATAGATTCTGACAAGATTACTTCTAATCTGCATGTTTTCCTATTTTCTATCCTTATCTGTACATTGTTGATATTTCATTTTATCAGATGTATGTATAAAAGCAAAGAAAATGAGGAAAAACCCCACACTCAAAAGAACCCTTTTCCGAATGAGAACTGAATTGTGTAAATATTAAACATTTTGTTTCAATATTGAACCTAGTTTATTTTCCATTCTTTTTAAAGGTAGCCAAGCACTTCTTACAGCTAATCAAGCAAAACAAAGGAGCACTTCTTTCTGAGATTTAGACGTTGATCTATATAAGAGTGAAACAAAGAAACAGTATTCGTATCTTATAAAACCATCTTAAAATATTAACCAGAGGAAAATCATGTGACCATTCAAGGAATAACATATAAGACCTTCTCTCTCCCTCTGTGTGTGTTTGTATGTATGTGTGTTGTGTATGTGTATCTGTAACAAGTATATTTCATAAATGTGGAGAGTCTTCCAAAAAAACTATATACAGACCTTTATTGTATCTGAGGTGGAGATGCCTGAGAACCACGTGCTCTCAAATCCACCTCCTTTTCCTTGGTTGTGTGTCCCTTTGGGAATTGTGTGCTGATGAGGAAACTGAAGGAAGGGCTCAGACCAAAGACAAAATCATGAAACTTACATTGCTGCAAATTCAGCTCTGTCTTCATGAATCGCTGGCGATAGCTCTGACCTCTACCAGCTGCTAATTACTTACAGAATTCACTTGACTTTCTTGACCAAAAATGCTTGCATTGCAAGCAAGAGATATATGTTTCCTCCCATGCTGCCTTTTCTGGATGTCTACCTCTATCCCAATATGAGCAGTGCAGCCCCATGTATGCCTTCCTTCCACAAAGGTATATCTAGGATGGGAAATTGTGCAGAAAATCCCAGCCGTGTTGTACCAGAGGATTCGAGGCTATACTAAAAAGCGGTTGTGCATCCTATAGGTTGTCCACCACTTCTTTTTAAACATTCCCTCATGGCTGAGGCTGTTGGCTGTGAGACCATTTGTGGTGGGCTCTATTTCATTGGCAGGGTTTTTAAACTAAGGCTGGAAGGCTAATTGTTTTGGCTGCTGTAATTTTATCCCACATTACGGATCCGGCAGAGGGTTGGATTTTATGTCCTTCACAAATCTATAATTCTGTGAACACTGTTAAATGTAACTTGCATTATGATCTAGTGGTGTTGGAAAAGCTGCTCTAAAAATATGCATTTCGCTGGAATATCCAAATGTTCAGACCCGGGAATGAGATGCTGCATATTCTGGGTCTCCATTTCTCTATATTGAATGCCTCCCTTCATCCCTAGAAGTTTTCTCTTTAGTGAGTCCAACTCAGCATTTATTCTTATAAAAGAAACCTAACTATCTTTCAGTAACAAAAATTCAGACTGAAAATAGCAGTGTCAGAAAGCAAGAAAGTACTTTTTTTTCTTTTATCACCAGTTCTGATAGGATCAAATCTTAGATTACCTTACTTGAAGTCAAACACAAGGTTTTAGCACAGGGGGCCCATCTTCCATCCCTTAAAAACTTTTCGTTCCACTGAAAGGAATAATTTGATACTCACCATTATCAAATATGGTCCCTGCAGTGAAGGACAGCTCTGAGTGATGCTCTGCTTTACAAGCATACAAGGCTCTAGCTTTGCGGCATGGAGAACTGTGAAAACAGTAATAATTTTAAACATCAGAATGAAGATAAGCTGATACATATTTACGTGTGCAAGCACAAACATTTCTCAATATTTCTTCTGGCAAATATTTGAAATGTATGTCAAATCTACCAATCAGCAAAATGCAGAGCTGAAGGGGAAAAAAACAATCAGAGTAGAGAAAAATGAAGAACATTTGAGACAACAAGCTAAAACTTAAAAAGGCAATACTTCTTCTTCAAACCATATTTCAGCATTCTGGAAATCCTGCTTAGACTTATCTGCAGTGTTTGAGATTCACACACACACACACACACACACACACACACACACACGAACACACATACTGTTGCCCAACAGAATGAGCAATAGCACCTCAGAGAATGTCCGAAATATGTGAAAGGCAAATCAGAGACAGAATACCAGGAATGCAAATTCTACAAAGCCAAGTATTATTTGTTCTTTGGAGTAGGAATTGCTGATAAAAAAAAAAAAAAGTCAGTGGCTTGACTGAAACTAATGCAGCTAAAAACTGGTACAAACAGCTTTTCCATGCTGCAACAGCCTTGAATTGAAGATTTGGTAAACACAGGGGTGGGTTTTTTGGTCATTTCTTGAATTACTGTTATCTTAATCACTAATTCATCTGCTGTAGATTTTTAACTGCATCCCTTAACTGAACAAGTTATAACTTGATGAAATAGAAGCCAGTAAAGCTGTATAGTGATCCATAGGTTGACTATTTATTTAATAAAGTCTCAGTTCTTAATACATCATCTAATAATACAAAACTTATAAAAACAGCATTAAAAACAACATATAATAGTGCCAGTAGAAAACAATGTACATGTAGGATAAAAATCAGGTGTACCAGCAATAATGCTGTAGTGGTAGGTAGTGTCTGTGTTTTAGAATCAACCATCAGTAATAAAACCAAAACCAAGCAGTTGAGAAATAGACCACAGACTAGTACTTGGCAGAGTAGCCATGAAGGCCTTAGAAAAGATACTCAGGGGCCTTGATGCGCCTTTATTACCTGCAAAGACCAGAATAGTGTAAGCAGTGTAAGCAATTTTTACCTGTTCATTCTATGTAAATTAAAGTTGGATTTTGATGAAATAGGATAGAAAGAGTATTGACGCTTGGGAAGTCTGGTGTTAGAATAGGTTAGAATTCTTTACTGGCCAGTGTACATACAAACAACAGGATGAGATAGTAGGAAAGATGAGAAGATGAGAAAAGATGAGAAATGAGAAGATGAGAAGGATAATAGCAATACAGCCTTTATTTACGTGGGTAAATATCTTTAGGCCTAAGACAGCGCTGTGGGAATTAGGTATTCATCAGAGTGATGGCACAGAGGGAAAACTATCTGTCTAGTTGTTTTGGCATGCAATGCTCTATAGCGGCGTCCTGAGGGGAGAAGTTTAAACAGTTTATATCCGGGATGTGAAGGGTCTGTTAGATATTTTTCCAGCCCTCCTTCTGGTTCATGCAGTATACAGGTCCTCAAGGGAAGGCAGGCTGGTTGCAATTGTTTTTTTTGTTTTTTGGGAGAAAATTGTTGGAGAAGACTCTTGAGAACACCATGGATAGAACAAAGGGATAATTGAAAAAAAAAACCCTATGCAGAGTTCTTACTTGAGGCAAATAATCAGGCCCAAATTATTCTACTTTGGACATATAATGCAAAGACCCAGCTCTCTGGAGAAGGCTCTGGTGCTGGTAAAACTGGAAGGAAAGAGAAGAAGGGAAAGATCAGCAGCAAAGTGGAATGACCTAAGTTACAGTGGTGATGGGTGCATCAATGGAAGAATTGAAGGACCAGGTTGGGGAGAGGATAGAGAAACTCTATATACTGTCTACAATTGCTAAAAATGACCACTGACTTGTCAGCACACAGTCAAGCAATTCCAATAATAAGGCAATATATAAAGCATAAAATCATAAAATCACATTAAAGATCTAAAACATTAAAGTAAATCTTAACAGGTCTGGGTGAATAAAAAGCTCTTCATTGCATACATAAAAATACTATAAGGCAGGCCTTAAAATAATATCTGGGAAGTGTATTTCCAAGATGGAATGGTATTGCTTAAAAAATCTTTCCTTGGGAACTGCATAAATGCCCCTGGATGAGGATAGCTGGAATGGCCCTCAAGGGAACATCTTAGAGATTTTGGAGGCCAATATGAAAAGATGTTGTCCTTCATTAGGTGGGCCCCAAACAATGTATTGCAATATATGCTATGACCAGCATTAGGAATTTATGCATCCATAAATCTAACTCTAAAGCTACTGTTTTGAACTAAATAAAAAAAGCATTGCTGGAAAACACTTGACAAATCCATGATAAAAAATAGGGGGGAAAAAACAAAATTAACTTTCTGAACTCCTTATGTTGGAGATATAGACAAGGGAACATTCAGTATTTGTTTTATTACATCTCCCACAGCTGGAAACATCAGGTACAAAAACTGATGTCATGCATTTTTTTTTCAGATAGTGAAAATTCTAGCAGTCTTCTGCTCAAAGCTGAGTGCCTAATATGTTTGTTGATTAGTACCAATTTTGCCAATAGGAAACTTGCATCAAGAGAAGTTTTGAAGAACAATTTTTTCTCTGCTTTTTTCCTTATTTTTGGAGAGTCAAGGAGCCCTACGAAAACTTGACTTTTCAGTTATGTCAAGGAAGACCAACTCAGTATTTGAGGCAGGAGACCACAATCAAAATGTTTCCGTTTAGATTCTTGCACTGAGCAGAATGCTCGACTGGACTCAGTAGCTTTATGACTCCTAATAATAGGATCCTAAGATGAAACGTTTAGACTTGCCTTCCTGTTCCTTTAGGATGGGTCCTAAGCCTCTCTTGAACAGTATTTTTGTTGACCAAGAGAGGAGAGGAAAGATTGTTTTCTCTTTTCTAAAAAAAAAAAAACTTGAATTGTAATCTATGGATTGCAAAAGAAGATGAGTTGGCAGATCAGGCACAATTATTCTAATTGATCCCATGATGTCATAGAGGCTAAAAAAAAAGAGGAATGGGCTGTTACTCCGTTTCCATGGATTGGTGATACTCCATCTCTTTGTCTACTTTTCTCTAGGAATTTCTTTAATTAGTTTTAGTTCTTTGCTTACTTACCCTCCCTCTTCCCCCTCGCCTTGTAAAAAAAGCCATATGCATTAGTGATTGTGGCATGGAGACTGCTTTTTTTTTTTTTTTTTTTGCTAATGGAAAATAGGGTATTTAAATTTGAGCTCTTTACAGTCTTTGAAAATCCTCTGCTGAGAAATGTGTAAAGACAAAACCAGATGACCTGGACAACAGTATAATTAATATCAGAAAATACCAGGCCAGCTTTATCCTGAACCAAATGAGAAGATCTGCAACAGATGTTTTTTAAATTGTCCAACAATGCCGGCCTCTTAACTTTAATAAACTGAACCTCAATTGTTCTATCAAGAGCTTTAAATAAAGGAAAGCAAAGATGATGGCATGGTTAAATAAAAGGAAACATCTTCTGGAAAAACTATTCACATGCGCAGTGTGCTATCTTCCCACTCGTACAGAGGAACATGAATAGCATTATAAGAGTGTCTTGTTTGAGATGATATTTAGCAGTGGCTAAAACACTCACAGTTTTCCTGGATAAGGCTTGAGATACATATTTTCCCATGAAATGCCTTTGTGCATGCAAGCACCATCTTTGGAACAGGTAAGTGTGGGGGATTAATTCTTCCTACTCTTAATGAAGTCTTAATGATGATACTACTCTAAAGCTGCTGTTTTCAGTGGCATGAAATTCCTCAGTGAAGGTAACTGGTAATTTTTCTTCCCTTGCAAATAGAGGCTTCAGAGGAGAAATGTTCATCAAGCCTGGAGTACCTAAAGGTGCTTTTTCAAGAGGCAACTGGACTTGGTTTTTTTCTTTGACGACGTTTCACTTCTCATCCAAAAAGCTTCTTCAGCTCTGAATAGATGATGGGAATGGAAGGATTTATATTCCTTGCAGACAGCTGGTCATTTGCATTCTTTTAGAGAGTCGTTGAGGCCACTTGGAGGTTTATCCGTATCCTCAGGATCACCCAAGTAGTGCAAATGGGTCTGGAGCCTTCTTGGAACTGCTGAAAGAACTATGTAGTAGACTGGAGATAGATGATGTCGTACCCCTCCCACTCTATGTCAAAATTGAACAGCCCTCTCTGAGGGACCCCGAGGACACAGATAAACCTCCAAGTGGCCTCAACTCTCTAAAAGAATGCAAACTTCCATTCTTTGTCTGTAAGAATCCTGATAATGATCAGGATCTTTGACAGCAAATTTTATTTGCACTTCAAAGAACATGCCAAAGAGCAAAAGCATATTTAATCCAAGTTTATATTGGCTTTTTGAAGCAGATTATCAGGATTACAGTGAACCAAGCATTTTCTGCAATTAATTGTACTGCAATTCAGATGATTTTTTTAAAAATCCATTTCTCCATGGGGGCTTTAAGATGTAATAGATGTGTTATATTTAATGATTGCATTTTCCATTCACTTAACAGAAACCTTATGTCTTATAGCACACTAGCACTTATGCACAGCCTGCCAATGGAGGGGAAAAATTGACTGAATGCAGGAATGGAAAGCTGCAGCAAAATTATAGCAGGTGGGCACTCTGGGATTCCAAGGCAAAGGAATGGCAGAAAAGAAACCTATTCAAAATTGCTCCACAACTAGAACCAGTCCTCTGTCTTTCTGTCTTATTCTTGTAGTATTTTTGGGGAGCGTCAAATTCAGGGACAAAATTTCAAAAGGAACCATTTCTTTGTTGTGGAAAGTTGCATTGGCAAGGGGAAAAAAATAATTATTATTCAGAAAGGGGCAGAAAATATCCTTTCATAAAACGTAGCACCTGAAATCAAAACGAAAAGCGATGGACACAATCTGCAAATATTTCCAATGTAAGCTACCTTCTTTTCAAACAGAAAAAAGTGATATAAAAATGAGACATTATGAACCCTTCAAGCATCAAGTGCCTTGCCATTTTCCCTCTATTCCCCATACTTGGCTTTACAATTCAAAATTTTACTTGAGTCGCACCAATAGGTAGTTCAACTGGTTTGCTTAGCTTTGCAAAAGAAGAGAAAGCCACAAAGACTGTCAGATCAATTTAATCAGGAAGCTTGTTCAACCCTCAACAGAGCAGGTCCAAAGACAAGGAAGCAGTGAGGGTGGGCAGGAAACAGCCTGACCCTCTCGCTCCAGGAAAATGTGTAACTTTTTAGAAGATGGGAAGGAACCCAGGAAAACGCAGGCAAGCAGAGAGCATTCTCTGATAATTAAAACAAGTTGAAATAGCGGCATTGCCAAAATAGCCTTCAATTTATGGTCCAATTTGGGCTTCCTTCCTTTTGCGGCATCTCAGCGTTCTGCAACTTCAGTGTCCATCTCTTGTGCTGTGCTGCCCTTCAAAGCTCGACTTGGATGATCAAGGACAGAAAGGAGCCCTGGATCTTTCGAATCCGTCCTTTGTTTTAATTTTTGCCTTTAAGCATGGCATGTGGCCAAGAAAGCACTCAGTCGACTTTTGGCCATGTGACTTGTACAGTTTGGACAAGAGCTGTAAATGTGCCTCTCCCCACCTCCCTATTCCTACATCAGAATAAAAGCATAATAGCTATTGCATATGGGAACAGAAGGCTTGAAGTTGATAAATGGTTTATTTGTTTATAAACTGAGTCACTTGAATATATGCATGCCCTCTCTGTGCAACTTCCATGAACTAATCAATCTACCCAGCATTATCAATCAGTGTCCCAGGGAAATAGGGTTTATAATCAGATTTCAGAGAAATTCAGATTGGGGCCCACGGATTATGTTAACCCTGATGCTTGATGCTCATCATGTTCATCATGCAATGATCCAAAGAAAAATCACATATACAGGTTGTTGTTTAAAAAAAAGAGCGTTCCACTTTTTACAATCAGTGCCAAGTCCTAGAGCTTGCACTATACTCAGACTTAATCCAGAGCATATCAAAAGAACTTTAATTACATACTTGCAAACTGCATTTCGCACAGTCTCAGAGAAAGTGGAATGATGGATGGAGAATGTAAAGAAGCACAGCTCTGAGAGGCTCTTTTCCCAAGGTGGCTGTGAAGGGCTTTCTAAGTGTCTTGCAGTTCATGATGGCTAAACATATAGGAAGTCAACAGATAAAGGAATAATCAAATAGAAGATAATGACTTCTCCCCTCCCCCCCCCATTTTTGATGGAGTACTACTTCATACTAGCACTTTAAACCTAGCCTTTTTTCGGTAGGAGGGATTTTCATTTTTAATGCAAAGCTAAATATTATATCTTAGCTGCCTGAACATATCTGGTTAAAACTCAACCTGCTTTCAAGTTCAAAATGAAGCCAGAAGTAAGTAATACTGAATAACAAGCTTGCATCCAGGGACATATCTTAATCTTCAGTTTAGTCTGAATTTCATATTAGTGGCTTATTGTGGTTTATGATGGAGTTTTAATCAGAAACAGGCTCTATTTCTTTCTCTCTTTTTTACTTTTTGGTAGAAGAATAAATGCGATTTCCCCTGGGACTTGGCATTGCAACAGGCAACGCAAAATCCCACCAAACTGCAGTTTACAGCTGTGTCACTTAGGAACAGAAATTCTGGGGCTCAGTTGTGCTCGTAGATCGGGGAATAGCCGCAGTTGCTAGCCAATTCTGTTGGACCATTCATTGTCAGGTTGGTTTTGCCAGATGTTAACCAATCCTCAATGTCACATCCTTGATGTATTGTGTTAAAAGATTTGGCAACGAGTGGGCATAGGATATTTCAGTTCCAAAACAGCAGTTCATCTTCTTGTTGCTGGCCAATTCTTGATCTTCCTCCACCATTTCTACTGTTATTATGAGTGCTTTCATTTCAGCTTCTTTTTTATTCTCTCCTTTAATCAACCTACATTCTTGTATTTTTGGAGGGTTATTCGCTAGCTGCAGCCAGAACTGCATTGTTGTTTCTTTGTCAAGGGCTGACTGGTTCATTGCAGTCTCTCTATTGAAGGATTAACAGAGATATTTCTGATTCGACGGAAGTCGGAGGTTCTGCTTATAATGTGCAAGTCAAGCTTTGAATCTGCTGATCTACTTGCCTACGGCTATTATTTGCTGCATTATTATTTCCAGTGCCTCCTTAAGCTTCCTCGTTTCTAAGTGATATTTCTTGATCAGGGTTTTTTTTTCTTGTTCCTCAGCTTCTTTTCTTTCATCTGTTCTAGCTTACTTGCATCTGACCTTGTCATGCAGATCTTAATTTTCCAGCTTGATCTTCGTTTTTGGTGGTACAGTGCCTGGAATTTTTTTTTCTTATTTTTTTGATTTTGCATTCCAGGTATTCAGTTATAATTGCAACTGTGCTGTACATTAGTTGGTTTGTTTCTTGCGGTGAGCTGGTGCTTATATTTGTTATTATGGTATTGGCATCTTTTAATACTTGTACTGGCTGTTTCTTTGGAACAAGGGTCAATGCAGGCAGTCATATTCTGCTGTTTTTGTAATCTAGATGTATTACAAAGTATGAGTGGTTTTGAGGTGGGCCTCCTAATAGAGGAATAGGGTAACTGATGCACAAGATGGATCTCTGCAAAAGGTCGTCCTTGGTAGTGCTGCTATCTGCTTTACTCTCCCTCTCATCAACACTGCCTGGGACCAACTATGGAAAAAGAAGGAGAACCACTATGTGCTTTTCTCTTCTAATCCCTATAGGCAGTCCAGAAGGAATAATGAGCAATGGTACCAAAAGTGATAGAGGGTGAAAATAGTTGCACCATCCCTGTCCCAGCTCTGCCAATGTGGATTTGCCAGAATGAGTTGCCAAACTTCAAAATTATACCAGAGTACTGTGTGTTTCTATCACAAAAAGTGGTTGCTTTGAAATTGATGCAAATGTTTCCAACAGGATCAATATTTCTAGGTATGAATCAACGTACACCGATTCAGACCTCTTAATTAAGCAAATGCTTCCTTATCACAGACAGTTCTCAATGCTGCAAATACTGTATATTCTTGCTTTGACAATATGCAAAACTGTCTGGCATTTATTGGGTTAATACTTAGCTTAGACTGAGCGGGGAAAAAGCCCGGGAAAGAAAGAGGAAGTAAACGTTTGACCTTCTCACTAATTGGATAATGTGACCTGTGACTGCATGAGAAGGGAGGGGTTGAGCAAGGAAAGCTTGATGCCAGCGACCGGAAGTTCAGATTCTGGCATTAATTAATCCAATGGTGACCGGCATAATTTGTAGCTCTGCAAATAAAGACTTTAGGAAACATGCCTGAAAGTTCTTTGAAGTGCTTCATTAGTCGGAACATGTGACAACAGTACTGTATATATTAACTCATTTTTGTTTTTGTAGTTACTGATGTATTTTTTGTCACTTTTTTTCAAGTTTTCGCAAACAGTCTTATGGACCCAGCTAAGGACCATTTTCTCTCGTCAACTATTCTGAACAGTTGATTTGGGGAAAGGAGTAGTGTATTTTTGTATACAGTATTTTGCATAGAATCATCCAGAACTATGATTATGAGGGTGCCAAAGGACAGACATGGAATTTTACAACAAAGGCAATGAATGCTATTTCTGACATAAGTGAACCAATTCCTTTGGAAAGATAAGGTAACTAAAATTCTCAAGCAATTCTGGGCAAATATGCAAAATGAATTAATAACTGAAAATATCAAAAACACAACAAACTTGCTTGGCTTTATCAAATCATTGTATTCTATTTAACCAAACCTGCTTGAATTTAAAAGGTTGACTTGCTTTTTTAATATGAACAATACATCATGTTATAATTTCCCATTTTATATGTGTGGGGGTACAAACATTTTCAAGTCTTGCGTGGCACAAGTAGTTTCCACTGACAAATTCCTGAAGCTATTTTCACCAATGTACCTAAAGAAAAGAGCAGAAAACCAGACTGGCAGCCTAAGGCCATACTTTAAAAAATGCCTTAATTTTTATCTATTACACTTTCTTTCTAGGGAGTGGTAATGAAAACTTACCTGTTGAAGAATAATTATCAAAATTCAAAAATTTGACGAAAGTAAAACAGAAACTCAGCTACTGCACTTCTCTTCCACAGCAATACTTCAGCTGGCATAACTGGAACATTTAAGGAGGCATACCAACCTTACTCAAGTCATTACACCCCCAATGAAGAAGGGGCATCATGCAATATTAAAATTTCCCTCTTTTGAAGCTGTGAAGACTGCAAACCAAGAAAAGGTTAGCCCTAACGCAGAGCTTTGGGAAGGCAGTGGTAAAAAGCAGATCAACTTAAAATGTAAAAGCAGCAGCCCAGCAGCAGCAAAGGAATCAAAAAAAGCAAGACCACAAATGGGCCACAGACCTGATGGGGGATGAATCGCTGGACGTGGAGGAGGTGGGCATAGGGCTGGATGGTGCGGAGAACATGGGCCAGGACGGTGAAAGGGGTGACGTTGGACTTGGATTCTGAGGGCTGCAAGACAGAACCAAACAACTTATCAAGACAACCAAACAACTTATCAAGACCCAGAAAAGCACAGCACCAACAAACACCCCTCTTTGAAAGCATGACTCAGCAATAATGAGTGCCCCTGCCCCCAAATCTGTGGAATTAGAGAAAATCCCCAAATGGAAAAATGGGGAGATTATTTAAAGGCTGGCATCTTGTTTCATTGGAGTCTCCCTGTCTCACCCTCAGACTTGCTCCCAAACAAGCCTTCCCAGCATTCCATTCTCCTGTTATATTCTAAGACAAGGACTTCAACTCCCAGCGTAATGGGCTCAGGAATTCTGGGAGTTGAAGTCCACAGGTCATAAAGGGGCCATAGTTGCCCATCCCTGCTCTAAGAAGATGCTTGGCATCTTCTTAGAGCAGTTTACACTATTATCTCAGTTTACACTATAACTCATGCTTTCTCCTCTACTCCCTCTGCCCACCTCTTTTATTTCAAGTATCCCTCACTTGATTACCAGAAAATGCTGGTCCTATTTTCATACAATTAGTAACCTTTGCAAGAACCTGCCTTGGTAGTATGCTCAGGAAAAAAAGGGACTATTCTCTGGGTCACAGTGCATAGCATGTGAAAATGATTTCCTGTTTACATTTATGAGTAAATGAGCCTTGCACGCTGGAAGCCCAGAGGGATTTGTTTTTACTAAACAAATAAGTTGGCAGGTGACTCTGCTAGTCTAAATGGAATAAGGCAAGAACAGACAGCTTGCTCCCAATCAAATTCGACCACCACCAGAATACAAATTAAACACACACACACTCCAGTATACATTTGCTAGGTTGAGAAATAACTGAGATGAAAAGCTAAAAACTCCACAGAGAAGGTTTTTCTTTTCCCCTATGCAGACAGATTCACAGATATAAGCCACGGTACATATTCATAAACCACATTGATTTAGCTAATGGAAAGCATACTAGTCTTACTGTAATTCTTTTCAAGTCCTTAAAAAAATATCAGCTGAGAAATGCATACAGAGACAAGCTGTGCCAAGAGAAGACCAGGATTGTTTCATGTGCTTGGGACATAAATAAGATATTGTAGATATGAGTGCTTAGAAGTTCAAGTATTTAAACATAAGAAATAATTTGGAAATGTGATCCTTCCCATGCAATAGGATCTTCAGTTCTAGGCCTCAGGGCTGTTTCTTTCAGTAATCTGCTGCCACAGTGGCTTAAATGAAATCCTAACAAGTTCCGTGGCTTGTTTGGACTGGAGTGAAACTACAAACCTCGCTTAGCTCCTTTAGCATTAATTACTCATGGCATGCTTTTCTGGAAGTGGGGGGTTGGGGGGGGGAGCAAAACCTGGAAGGACTTGCACATGTCAAATTTCAAATTAATTACAAAAATTCTCAAAGAGAAACAGGACATGTGTGTTAACACACAGCCTTTCAGCTCCATATTATCTGCCCCAATGGTGCAGATTATCCAAGCGGCCAGCCAATTTGCAGCCCTATGGAGAGATGGAAAAGAAAATTAACTCAGGGTCTTCTGCTTGTGAAATATGAATCTAAGCCTTCTCCCATGCTGAGGGAGCACAATAACCTTGCCAAAGCCAAAGTATTTTAAAACCTGAGGGCAAAAATAAAATAAAATAAAAAAAATCCTGCAAACTGCTCTCCCTTGGGGGTGTGTGGAGGGAGAATACAGTAGTTAAGAAATTAAACTAAGAATTGGCTTCCTGCTTGAGGCTACCACACTGTTCTGTGCAACAGCTGAGCTGTACAGCTACAGTCTATCCCCTGGCACAATGACTGGAAGATACAGGAATTTGAAACACGGAAAACCCATCTGTTCCTATTTCCGTGGTCTTTAATTGTGCACATTAAAATGTTTGCCATTATTTAAAGACGTGCTTGCTTGCTTTACTGTCTGTTATCTCATCTAGAAGAAAAATGCCAGCATATCATGCTGTAATTTTTTTTTTTGCATGTAAGTTTTATTTAAGTTCTTGATTTTATCACGCCAAGTAGAATCTGTTTATAGGAACTGCTGACAGACTGAGTAAAACGTTGCAAGAGGAATGCTTCACTTCCTTGGTTATACCTACAATCATTCATTCACAGCTGCAACAAATACAGAATATACAAACTGGACTGAACTTAGATAATATTACAACATTCCTGTTTTAACAATAAAAAAACGAAGGAACCTGCGAAGCACGTTGAGACCATTGACTAACAACTTGGATTTTTCACCTTTTGTTCAGGCTTAGACATCTTAGAAACAGACTTGTTAAATTTGAGAGATTAGAATATCACTGCAATTTTTCTGCAGAGTTTTTGAGCTCTTTTTTCAAGATTGCGGCTGTGGCATATGCTAAAGTCAGAGGAATTTGATTTTCTTTCCAAAGGGAAAATACATTTTTCAAATACCAGAATGATCACCAGATCAAAGCTAACATTGTAATAGTTAATTCTACGTATGCTAGCTGCTGGAGAGCTATGGGATGTCAGCTCAACAAAAGATAATTCATTCAATGATTTAAGGTGCATATATATTGCTTCATAGGAGTGATTTGGCACAAGTTTATTTAAAAAAATTAAAATGACTCAAACAGAAATTTACAAATGCTGCACATTCCATGTTAACAGAGGCCAGAAACTGCAGTTGAGTTTCTTATCGCTGTTCTTGGTTTGGCCTGCATTCAAACATTTTGCTATGAAAGCAATATGTAAATATGTGCCCAGAGCTGAGCTATTCAGTTCTGAATAATATTTAACCCGCTAAATTCTTATCTGAGACAAATCAACAGTTACAGAAAAATACTCTTCATACCATTAAGCTCTTTTAGCACCTTGGATTTTGCACATCCTCATTATCTGTGTATACACAATGCACATCCAGACATGTCCATGATACTTTCTAGTAGACTTCTTCTCCATGGAAAAATCACAACAAACAACAATTATATAATGCGTTCCAATTAGACACAGTATGGATTGCTTCTTATTATATGGTACCAACTATCACCATATCATGAGAAATAATTCATATGTACAAAGCAAATTAAGCTAAGGAAATTAAGCCCTGTCAAGTTATTTGCTCCTATATCACTATCATTCACTGCAACCTCAATTCTACAAAATGGTTTCTGCTCAAAATTAGCAGTAGTGGGGGCCATTTTAGATAGCCCTGAGCTGAAAGCTGGAATATGTATATGCAGGGGTTTGATGTTATTTCTTTTGGAAATTTTCACTCGTCTTTACTCTCAACAGTCCTCTGCTTCATTTACTGATTTTTTATTATGATATTTACTAATATTTACTAATATTTTTAATACTGATCCAGATAACTTTATTTCTGATGGAACAGCATTATCTCTGATCCAGTATAATGCAGTGCAGTGTAGTATAATCCAATCAAGACTGCTAGCACCGATGATGTTACCTAGTTTGAGAATGAAATGTCTGCAAGAAAATAACAAAGCTCAGAGTCCACTAAGGACCCCTCATTTCAACCCTGAACTACAAATATTCTCCTTTATTGATACCAGTCCAATCCAGTCCAGTCAAGTTCAATCCAATCCAATCCAATCCAATCCAAGGTCATTAAATCAAGTGAACGAAAAGTCTCCTTCCAAAATAAAAGTAACTAATACATTAGATTTGCTAATGATATCTTTCAATAATTTCACTACACGTCCTACTTTTGAAGCAAATACAAACTTCGGAGTGTATTTGGCCAAGCCACAGCTTCATATTATTTACTACTGATAGCTGGTATTGGAAGAAAAAGTTGAAAATGATAACTGAACACTGGAAACTATTAAAATATGATAACCGTTGGGGCCAGATACCAAGCAATTTTAGATGAAATAGCAATAGCTTTCTGAATAATAGAATTGCTTACAAACAATAACTGCCCTCTTTTCACTAAATAAAAAAATATCCTGGATATCTTTTAAAATATACTTCATAGGAACCAGAAGACAACATGATGCCTATGTTTTATATTGGATTTCTGTGTCTTCCTGTGCAATTCAAGGAAATGGACAATGTGAAAGTTGCTGTTGGCTTTTTTCCAGTTTTCTTGTGGGAAAATATCTTCATCATAAAAAAGCAGTTCACAATTTGGCACCAGAAGAGCATTCTTGTCCAGATTAGAACAGTTTTTAATATAAGTCATAGTTTATGGGCAAACTTGTTTTAAGTGGGGGGGGGTGTCTATTCAAGACAGATTGTAAACTCTAGTTCGGAAAAATATAGCATGAACATCAAACATCAAATGGAAGGGCAGATAAAAAAATGAAAACTAGGACTGAGTGAATTTTGCAAGCCAAACTTTTTTAAAAATGAAATAATGGATTTAGGAGAGCACACTGACAAAAGCAGCAAACTCCTGCAGGGGCCCACATCTGTCTCTATGTAGTACATACGGTACTTCCTTTTCCTTCATGAAGGTGAAATTGAAAGCCATCCCTTAGTCTCTTTTAGAGCAGTTTTGCAAAGCAATGATTGCTCAAAATAGGGTCTCCCATTGGTGATCCATAGTCCTCTGAAACTTTCCCCATCTTCACCAGCCATAGTCTGCTCTCTGCCTCAGCCTCATTTTCTCACATTCCATATCCACAATGTCACCCACTGATTGTCAATACACATGTAAAGACATGTCCAATACACATGGGGGGCCTCCAAGAGTAATCTGGTGAAAACCTGTTTGCCACATTAGCCTCTGCCTTTCTACCTTTATCAGAGTTCAGTTGCCACCTCAGCCTTGCTTCAAGTTGTAGATGAAGTTTTTAAATAAATAAGTTGGCAGGTGAATCTTTTAGTCTAAATGGAGTAAAGCAAGAACCGACAGCCCACTCCCAATCAAATTCTTGGCTTATGCAGAGCATGCATAAGACATAAAGAAATGTGACTATAATCATTTAGCAGTCAAAAAAACCCCCAAATTCTCAGGCTCTAAAAGATGGGGGGGGGGAAAAAAACCAAGAATAGAGGTGTTTAATTGTACTT